GAGTCAATTAAAAGGTTATTTAATATAAAAGGAGCGATGACATAGCTTTGTGAGGAAACCAGATTCAGATATCCAATTGCAACAAAATTTGCAAGAGAACTATTGTTACCCTTTCCATCTTCATATTTTGCTGAATGCAGATTTAGTGCCATAAATGATTTGCTGCTTTTTAAAAAAAAAAAAAAAAAAAAAAAAAAAAAAAAAAAAAAAAAAAATCGGTTGGATATATTGAGACTCAAATTATCTAAATTGGAACCTGACATAAAATTTCTTTGCAGCAAGTATCAAGTGCAAGGAACTCGCTAAATTTAAATAATAAAATTGCTAATACTTAAAATAAAAAACTTTCACTTCTTGAATTTCAGTTCTCCATGTTTTGAAAGTTCACTTACTGTGTTTGCTCATAAAATTTCGTAGTCATTTCTTCCTAAAAGCTATCATTCAAGTTTCTTTCGTGAATATTTCAATTTTTAAATATTAAAAATTATGTATATGCTAGGGGGAGCGTAAAAATTTCAGAGAGGATTGGGTGGGGCATAGCACAAAAAAAGGTTGGGAAACACTGGGTTAACCTAATTGTTAAGACTTATAATTATTTCTTCCTTTGATCTTTTATTTCAGTTAAGTGTCAACCCATTGTAAAAATAAGATAAAAAAAAAGTTTTCAAGTAAAGATCGAATGATTGTCCATGTCTTGGTGCATCAAAAGAAAAACAAAAAGCTGCAGTTATGTTAGCTGCAAAACAATATAAATGCAGCAGACTGACCATGTCAAGAATTTGATACATGCCTTCGAAAATAATTATTAGAGGGAATCTTATGCTAATGTTGATTCTTTGAAGGAAAAAAGAAGTGTGTGGACTAAATACAAAGGTTATGGAGAAAAACTTGAAAACTTAGATGTATTCCTCTCAGCAGAAGAGGTACCATAGAAACAGTAAACTTAGCCTTTGATAATATCTCTCCTGAAATACTGGATAACACATTTCTGTCACTTGTACAAGTTATGCTGGAAGAAATGAAGAATGATACCTCCAATAATTTTAAGTTCATGTATATAGAAAAAGCGAAGCATTGCAACCAAGGGATCCTACCAACAAATTTAAAATGCAGTAACAAAAATTCTGAAAAATCCTGAAATTATCTGAAAACTCAAAATAAAATTGAGAGTAATATTTTTTTATTTATTGTTTAGTTTAATCTAGTTTAAACTTTTTTTAATACATATATGCATATGCATATATTGTCTGATTCGCTGCTTGACCGACAAACTTGCAGCTTGTGTAGGCAGTACAGAGACAACACGGAATCACATAGGACTGCAGTGTCGCAAATGCCATAGTTTCAATCTATGATGCAAAAAAGCAGAGAAAAAGAACAGAAACAGTAACACATTAATGGAACAGAAAACAGTTTATTGAAAGGCTGTACTACAACAGGTGTTTGAAATTATGACCAGGGTCATCAGGTAGGCCTGACATGGAATTCCTTACGTTCTGGAAGATTCCTCCTGGTAATCTTGCAGTAAATGGCTTCCAGCAGGTTGTGGGAATAGAGATCCTGCTGGAAGTCATCATTTGCGATCTGTTTGAGGTAGTATGGACATGCAGAATGTAACGGGCACGCCACATGGCAGTTGTACCAAGAACGTTACCCGAACAGGCATGCTTCACATCATAGGACCTTCCTAAGTGTGAACTGAAGGTTATGCGAGACTGGTTGTTTAATGAAAGCTACAATTAATCGACCGCAAACAACGAGGACACATGGTAATGTGGAGGCAGTCTTATGTCTGGCAGAAGAATCCAAGTACGAGTAATCCAGCAATTCCAACAAGTAGATTTATCTCAAGCCATTGTCTGGAGGATCATTGCAGCAAAATGAGCCCAATTATTAGAAGCTGAAGATTATCCACTCTGGACGATGTTTGCTTGCTACAGATAGCATATTAGCTGCATCTGCATTTTTCATAGATGAAGCATACTTCACAGAGGAAGCCTTCAGTCAGCATAATGCCCATGTGCGGGCTCTGTAGAACCCTCATCAAACACAACTACATGTAGCTCAAGAGCATTTCTCGGTTAATGTTTGGTCCAGCATTCTTAGAGACTTCCTCACTGGATTGTACCTTCTGCCCAGGCCTTTTGGTGATAGGGCGTACCTGATCTTCTTTCAAAACGTCCTTCCCGAACTTTTTTTGACACAACACATGTTCTCACTGTGCCACTCCATGTGGTACTAGCATGTCAGGGCTTTCCCACATTACACAATTGATGTCTGTTGACACCTCGAAGTAACCTTTGAACAGCGGTGGATAGGTCATGGTGGTTCGGTTCCTTGGCCTGCCAGATCACCAGATCTGTTATGCATGAGCTTCTTTTTCTGGGGTCACAGAGTTTGCTATACAAGACACATTTTGAGAATGTTGAAGACCTCGTCAATCGAATGTTTGTAGCTGCTGAGAGGATACATGACATGCTGGGAATCATCTAAAACGTAAGAAATTCCATGCAGTGCCATAGTCCGGACTTCTAAATGACTTGTGGTCGTAATTTTGAACACTGTTGTAATACAACCTTTCAGTAAAATGGTTTGTCCCATTAATGTGTTGCTGTTTCTGTTCTCTTTCTCTGCTTCTTTGCACCGTAGCTCGCAACTGCGGCAATTGTAAACCTGTTTTCTTATGTGATTCCGAGTCATCTCTGTACCCCCTACACACTCTGCAAGTTTGTCAGTCTGCATATACTAAATGTTGTGTTCTATATTTATTTCTTTTGCTACTATTTTTAAGGCACAAATTAAATTCATCAACTGCTACTATTATTTTGGGACAAAGGGAGTATCAGTGTTCTATGACTAGCATTGATGGTGATGTAACTCGGGTATAATAAAATATTCTAAATCTTGAAAAATTGAATTACTAAGTTAAATCTTCATAGCTTTACAAATGCTGCTGATGGAAATATCTGGTGTACTAAGATTCTGCACTGTCGTAAAGGTAGAAGCAGCTGAGATGGTGTAAATGTTGAGGTCATGTCCACGAGAAATGTTATTGGTTGAAGGTAAGGAGTGAAAATACAAAATGTACTGGATAAGCAGGAAAGTTTGGGGGGGGAGGCTAATCTCAGAACCATACCAATTCGGGATAAAAGGCCTACAAATAAAAAAAAAAATGTAAGGACGTACATAATTAGGAGCAATTAAGAAAAATAATTATGTATTCCAGTATATGTAGATAAATACTTTCTAATGATTGTTGCATAGGATTTCATTAATGGGCAGAATTACCACATCCAGGCTGTTTCTTGATCCAACAAGAGTTGCTTATATACAAAATGTTGAAAGACTATAGCTCACCACTGAGTGGTGAATAAGAAACAGTTGAGCGCAGTATGGTGAAAGTCCTTGGGATGAAAAATTGCATCTGATGCCGTGTTGAAAATCATCATGGAAACATGGCAGCCAGAAAGTGCATAACTGGTGTAAAGCAAACTGTGGTTAATTTTTACTCTGCCTCACCATGCTATTACTAGTATTAATAATTTTCCTATTCAAAAATTCATTTTGGGGTGTTATCCTGCTTAACTAACACATTTGTACTTTTCACTTAATGGAAAAATTTTAATGTTGAATCCTTTTAAATTTATAATATTGAGAATCAAAAGTATAAGTTTGGGCATTTTAGTGTCAGAACTGATCTGAAATTAAATAAATTTTGACTGAACTCTGTAATTAAAATGCCTTTGTAAAAGGAAGAAAATTTTTATGAAAGTTCTGGGATATTATCAGTATTTAAATATGTAATGCATCTATTTTACCATTTTTCAAAACTTTTAATTTCCAGCTTTAATAACTCAATATAAGCAGAGGGAATTTAAAAATCTGAAAGCTGTGCTTTTAAGTTACTTTGTCATCATTTACAGTTACTAATTTGTCAACTGCGATTTATATATTATATATTAATCTTGATACGTACAGCAGATTAGTTTGTTACTAATTTTGTAAAAATTAGAAAGAAAATTATTTTAAAATGTAATTGAGTGCATACAAATGGAATAAATCACATGGTCTAATAAAAATGCACTTGGAGGTTTAAGATGATGGTAAAAACACATCATTCAGGGTTTAAAATTTGATGTAAAAATTATTGATTACAGAATAAATTCGTGAATCTAGATTCATAACCATTGCTGTAATCAGTATCTTCTATTGCTATAAACATAATGGTTTTTCAATGTGATACTGCTGTTTACTTAGAATAGTGTAAGAACAAGGACATCAGTAGGTTTGTTTGCTTTCATCTTGAGTTACTGGTTTTATTTTAAAATATTTTTTAACTTTATATTATACGGTGATAATGGTCTTTAGCATTTTAATACACCACTGCATTGCTGTGGGAAAGGATGGGATAACTTGTTCACTGGAAGGAGAATGTTCAAAATTTTTAACAGGCTTTTAAAAACTTTTTCTTCTGTTCCCAGGATCCTCACTAGGAATAATCATAATACGTTGAATTCCATTAAATCTTAACGCAATTATTTGAGGCTGTGTCTTACTTTATCTCAATGATATTTACCCAGTAGCTAGTTTTTTGCTATGCAGTGTTCAATATCCAAACATATCCTCGTCACTTCAGTCCTCGACTGTAACACTATTTAATTTTTGCTTCCTGGACTTTGTTAAAGACCAAAAGTTTTTCCACTGATTTTTGTGATGAAAATAGAAACAACATATTACCATGGCTGCCACTCAGGTTGCCCTAATGCCTGAATGACATTCATTGTACTTAAAATGCATGTCCCTCAGGTGAATATGGTCTCAATTTAGATCACTAGCTTAATAATTAGTGATGATTGACATATATATTGGTAATTTTGTAAGCTCTGAAAAAAGATTATTTATTTTTTCATTTCTATTAATTACATTGCAGTATAGTAGTAACCTACCTGTAAATATAAATATTGAGTCCAGGACGTTTTTTTTTTTTTTTTTAATTTCAGAAATATACAAGTGTGCCTCTGTTTTTTAAATGCTTGGAAATCCTCTTCATCATAATTTTCATTGTTTTGTATTTTCTGGGAAGGATTATAAATGTTGGTGGCTTATTTGAACCATATACTGGAAAAGTAATTTTGTGCATTGGATTACTATATTTTTTCTACCGCCTGATTGCCGTATATTTACCTATTTCACCAACTTTGGGTCCACTTTTGTACCGAGTAAGACTTATGGTAAGTTAATAAATTTACTGCCTAAACCGAAATATAAATTTAAACTATATATGCAATTACTAGCAAATTACTGGAAGCTCTGTTTTTTAAATTTTATGTATTATTTATTTTTTCTGCAATTAGTCATGGAGCAAAATTTTTTGCCTGTGAGATTTTATAATTTATAAATGTTATTGTTTTAAATTTGTATCATCAAATATAGACACATCTAATTTTTGTTTTGGACACATGTTAGTAAGAAAGGGGACCCTCAGCTGTGACCAAAATGGCCATAAGTTGCTGATAAATGCCTTTCTTCATTCTGTAACTGCTATTAGCTTTCGGTATGTGGTGCAAGAAGAGCAAGTCTTCTCTTGATCTTAATAATGTAAACAGATTCAAATTCACTGCAGCAGATAATTGTTATTCTAGTTAAACTTTTGAGTTGATGCTGGCACTAAAGAGGCAGTATTGGCCAGGAAATGAAACCATCAATCAGACTGTAACATAGCTCTTGCGAAGTACCTGACACTGAGATCGTCATCTAAGTCGCCGTGGCACACTGTAACTTCATTCTGTGATCTCAAATATTTTATCTGCAGAAATGAATATTCCTTGAGATAAGGTCCAGTACATGTTTTAGAAGACAATCAAACATCCAACTCTGATAAACTTAACTAACATAACATGGAAGATGATTAAAAGCTGCTTCATTAGAACAACCATGTAAAACTTTAGGAATCAGAGATATGAAATATTGACTAGCAATTAATACTGGTTTATTGGAGGAGTTAATGCAACAGTGGAGTGTAATTTTCATAAATTTGCAGGACTAGTTTAAAAGGCTTAAATGTAGAACCTCTTTCTTCAGCTGCAGAAGTGCAAATGATTGATTTGTCAGTATTGATATTTTGAGTTTCAGTCTGAAATTAGGTCCTGCTGTCGAAGTGACCAGTTCCACAAGTATTATCTCTAAAATGGTATTTTGACAATGATGAACTTTTATGAGTTGGTTGGAGATCAAGTCTCTCCAATCTTTCAGAATTAAAGTTTAGAAACATCAACTGCTTTTACCAAAAGGACATCATTTCACTGAATTACTTATAGATTATTATTATTAAAAAAAATACTCTTCATTCAGGATTTTAAACAACACTCTCTTATTAGACAATTATACTGGATACCTGCCAGACAAGACAGTTAGACGTGTTATAAATAAATGCATGACTTGCTTTCGGACAAGAAACCATATGATGAGAGATTTACCTAAAGGTAGAGTAGTAACAACTACACCATTCGTAAAAATAGGACTAGACTTGACCACTTAAGCACCAAATCTAATTTGAAAAGATCTAGAGTTACTTTAAAATCATATCTCGCTGTATGTATTTGTTTTAGTACATAGGCTATCCATTTAGAAATGGTATTAGATTTGTCTATTGAAGCATTTCTAACATGTGAAGGTTTATTGCCAGATGGTCCAAATCCTAAATTGTTTGGAGTGATAATGCTACAGGCATCAAGGGAGTAAAAAATTTTCTTGAACTTCCTTGGAATTTGTAGATTGGATCCTGTCCAACGCTTTAGTTCTGAAGAAGGCATAATGTAGAATTTTATTCTTCTTTTTTCCCTACATTTTAGCGGATAGTATGCTAATGTAAAATCGGTGAAGATAATTAATAAGTCGTGAAATTAGCAATTTTTAACTTTGAAGAGCTTTATACGTTAATTACACAAATAGATGATTAGACCTTTATCACTTATTTCTGCTGATTCAATGGATCTTCAACCTTTGACTCCAGGTCATTTCTTAATAGGAGCTCCACTTTTGTTGATGCCAGAACCAAATAACACTGTATATTCTTTGACCTTGTCTTTCAAATGGACCTTAATTCAGAAACTTAGAACTAATTTCTGGAACCTTTTGAGTATGAAATATCTCAATCATTTGCAGACCCATCGAAATGGAATAAACCGAAATTTAACCCCAAAGAAAGGCAACTAGTTTTATTGAAGGATAAAAACAAGATGCCAATGAGTGTGTGTGATTATGGCAAAGCCTCGAGGGCTATCTGCTTAAGTTGATCGATACCTTCGTGGAGGACTTTCTAAGGGAAACTGGCTCGTATACACGTTACACATGGGGAAAACCACAAAAATGCCCATGCAACCAGCCCGTTCATGAGATTCGAACCTTGGACCAAACTACCAGTGTTCAGCGACTCTACTGCTCGGCCACTGGTGGGCCACCAAGTACAATTCGTGGACATCAGAACGTGAGATGGAATCTTTCGTTGAACTGTCTGCAATATCAGTCCATTTCCATTTCCAAATGATGTTGGAAAACTGTTCAATGGGTGCTGGGATGCTCTGGTTTGAACACATACTTTTGTCTGCCTGTGAATGGTAATGTGAAAATCAGTAAGAGTGCATTGATTTAGAGAACAGTAAATGGCAGCAATGTAAACTTTGAACTTGCTTTCAATTTGTTTGGTGTACTTTGATTGCTGCGGATGAGGTGTATAAGGGATTCAAGATTACATTTATTTGTTATGGTATGCTAATAAATTCTCTTTTAAACTAGACTGAATATTTATTTAGATAGAAATACCACTGAACCATACATGTAGAAATTTAGATGCGGCATTTAGATTCATTGTGGAACTTTGTTAGATATGCCGTGCCATTATTGTCTATTGTACAGGTTCTATATTTAAACCTTCACAATTAGTCCTGAAAATTTATGAATATTATTCTGCTTCTTGTTACTTTAACTTCTCCAATAATCATTATTTGGCATGTTATTTTAAATCAAATTTAATATTGAATTTTTAGGAAAAGTATTAACAAGAAGCAAAAATGTGTAAAAATATTGCAGAAAAAAATTTAATAGTTTTAATTTATGATATTTGTGTAATTTAATATATATTTGAAAGAAATAAGAATTAACAAATTTTCAGTAGAGGCTTTTCAATACTTTCTGGCTGTGACACATCAGGTTAATAATCTATTAATTAAATCTTGATATTTAATGTTTATGCTTATGTTTTGATTATAATGTGTTGATGCTTATTGATGCTTTGTGTTCTTATGGAAATTAATAATAATCTTAATATCATTGTCTTGTTTTGAAAAGGTATATTTGAAAGGTATATTATAGCTCCATTATTAAGTTTTACTGTTTCAAATTAAAATTAATGCACCTTCTTTTGAATTTATGTCAATTTGCTTTGAGAGGTTTACATTAACAAAATAAATTAGTTGAAAACAGATTTACTTTGCATATTAATCTTCTCTTGCTGTGTATGATGATGTTTAAATTTGATTTTTAGAGGGGGTGTTTTCTTAAATTAGATATATAGTTTAATGTGATTTTGACTTCTTTATTTTGTAGGTGTTGGTTGATTTTGTTAACTTTATGCGAATGACTTTATTAGTCATAATTAGTGGTGGAATTGTTATTCAAGCCGTCCTCTATCCTGATTATCCTCTTACTGCTGAGCTTTTCAGAAGAACATTCCACAGGGCTTGGTTTTCTCTCTTTCTGACTCCCATCAGCGATTTAGAAGGTAAAATCTTCATGAGACCAACTTAGTATTTTAAAAGGAAAAAATATATATATATATTACTGTAATCAAGTGCCAGCTTTTTATTTGGTACTTTGAAGTCTTGTACATTAAACTAGTTAGAATGTCTTTTGAAGTTTTCTTATGCTCCTCAAAGAACTTTGGAAAAGTTAACTTTTATCGTAAAATTCGTTAAGTTTCTAAAAAAATGAAAATTTTAAATTTAATTTACCATTTATGAATAACATTTTACTCTATAACGTAATGAATTTTTTTGTTACTCATAGAGAGATTTCAGAATATGTGTTTAGAAAATGAGCATAATAATTTGAAATATAACTTGAGGCAACATTCAGGATTAAGCTGATAACGGTTTAACAGAAAAACTGAACTTTGATAAAGATAGATGCAAGCCACTCTTCAAAGAGTAAAATTATTCTAACACATTCATCTGAAAATGTTGTCATTGAATTTCATATAACAAGTATGTGATCCATTTTCATTTATTGCATCAAAAGGAATGCTTGAAATATGAGTTACAGTACCATGAATTTGCATCATGTAATGTTTTTATGCTTGGTAACAGTTCACTGCTATTTTCTTTATAAAGGGAACTTGAAAGAATTCTGAGAATAGTTTGAGGTTAAAGAAAATAGCCAAAGATCATATATAATCCTAAGCAAGCAATAGTTGAAAAAAGTTATGTATATTTTCATTTTGTATGGGTATGTTGAAAGTGTGAGTGTTTTTCTGGTTATAGCAACTTTCATTGCATTGTAGAAAATTTTTATGCTTAATATCTAATTTTTGCTCTGTTCTAAAAATCTGATTATTTATGCTTTTTTATATATGTCCAAAAATCTAGGATGGGGAACAGATTAGATGTTATGTCAAGAAAATAAAAAAGTAGAAAAAATGCTTTTTTGGGTACATATATTTTGACACTATAATAACAGAGAAAGAGACCATCTGAGAGGTGACATTTCATTTCTTCTCTCTCTAAACTGACTGTTAAAAATTTATTGTGCATTTATAAAATGTGAAATATTTGATTTTGTGAGTAACAGCAACCATAATGTACAGAAATTCAACAAGTCCTTTCATTTGACAATATCTTACCTATATTACTTATCTTATGCTTAGTTTAAATTTGCATGTTATTAATCATCATATTTCAGCTGTGTCAGATGAAAAATTTTAATTAAGAGGTACAACAATGCGCATAGCTGTTGTTTTCAAGTAACATCAATAGCGAAGCTGATCAGTTTCAAGCTACATCAGTAGTGAATTTGATCCGTTCCGAGCTACATCAGTAGTGAATTTGATCAGTCACTGTAGTGGCAGCAAGTCATCTGGTCTAATGAATCAGCATTCACCTCATTTCAGACCGCCAAGTACATTTATGGATGGAAAAACCAGAGATGCATTTTCAGATGCCTTTCTCTTATTCAACTGTAAAGCAGGGAAATGGCCTCACTTAGTATAAAGAACAATATCTTGGTACAGACTTGGCCCACTTGTTATTTTGCATGGAAAAAACAAAGCCAATCTCTATCATAACATCCTGATGGATCATGCTCACACGTCATTTTCTGGTAAAAGATTGCTTTTTCAAAATGAAAATATCCCTGTCTTTACTGTGAGATGTATTAAGTATGGTTCAAAGAGCATAGTAATAAAACAGGACGTTTTTCTGGTCTCAGCCCTCTGACTTTTATCAATAATTTGTGCGAATATTTGGAATCCAAACTTTATGCTTGAATTCTAACTCTAATTATATAACATTAATATACTATAATTTCAAAAAATAGAAAAATGTGGTAGGAATCCTTCATATCCATATCTTCATATATGCATCCATCCCTTATCATATACCTCACCCTTGTGTTTGGCACGTCATAATCACCTTTGGTTTTGTGCCAAAAACCCCACTCACTCACTCACCCTTATCATATACAATGTACCCTTTAGTTAAAGGATGGTTCAGTCTGTTATTAATGAAAAAGGTCTCTTATTTTTCTTGCGTTCATGCTGTTTTGTATCCCATAAGTATGTTTATGTATTACTGCCATACTAATTTATTGCCATTTTACCATCATGGGTAATAGAGATTTGGCAATGAAACTAACATTTGGTGAATACAGCACTCCAGATTTTAAGACGATGTATGCACTTGCAGCTGGGAATCTTGAATGTTTTCAAATTTTTTAATAGCAACAAAGTGTGAATTTTTAATTTTAAACAATATTAAACATACTGACTCCAAAATAAGACATAAATTGAAAATACTATATTAAAATTATATAAATACTATATTGTTTTTTCTGCTAATATTTCTTTCATGTGAGGACTAGATATGACATTACTTTGTAGTGTCTGCTATAAAAATAAGTTTTTAATTTATTGTGAACCACAGCATATACAGACTTGTTAATCCAGCAAGCTCAGGATTTTAGCAATGTCAGATTATTTGACTAAAATTGCACGATAGCACAAAATAACTTTTCCCCCTTATTGGATATATTGGGGAATAAAAAATTACATACAGTAATTCTTCAAATGTATTTAATGAATTGAACATGTTAGGGAAAATAAATTTATGTGCCTACTTCATAGATTTGTCCCCCCCCCCTTTTTTTTTTTTTTTTTTTAAGAAAGTCATTCCTAGAATATGAATATTTGTTATTTTTCCGATATATATATATATATATAACTAGTACATAAGATTGTTGTGAAATGTTTCTGATTATAGCAACTTATATGCAGACTAGATCGCAACTTAGGTTATGTTGCACATAACAAAATTAATCAAACGATCTAAGAGATTGCAGATTTTGTTAGAATCTTCTTTTAAAGGTAAATATAAAAAAAATAAATAAATAAATCTTAAATTTCTTTACAGGTAGTGAAAGGTGCAATGCTACAAGATCTCATATGACTCCTGATCACTGTGTTGTTGGCAAATGTAAGTAATATTTTATGCTATTTAAATCTCCACTGATTTATAATATTAATAAAATTCCCACTGGTTTTAAAATATTAGCTACATCTCTTTCTTTTAGATGCTGATTATACTTGTCCAAATACTGGATTTTGGCCTTATGTTTTCTCCATTCAATATTTTATTTTCCTTAAGCTTATATTATTGACTTTGCTATATGCCTTATTCAGGTAAATTTTTATTTTATATTTATTTTTTATAAAATAAAGTTAAGTCTGATTTAAGTACATAGTACATTTTCTCTTCCAGTGCTACTGCTTCGAAGTTGCAATCAGAAACAGATGCAATTTGGAAATTTCAGCGGTATCAACTTGTAGTAGACTTTTCTAATCGTCTTCGTTTGCCCCCACCTCTTAGTATATTTAGCTATTTAATTATTTTCTGCAAGTGGTTCTATCGGTGTCTTCTTTGCAGAATTTGCAAAACAAGTGATGAAACAGTAAGTTTTCTGCGGTGTGAATTCCATTTTTTTATTATATCTGGCTTTCTGATCTCCATCATGATTTTTTCCTGAATAATTATTGTAAATGTTAATGATTTTATTAAAACTTCTCTGCATCAGCAGTCTTCTGTAAAATATTATCTGAGTTTATGTATAGAAAGGAAAACTGCTAATTACTTGGTTTTAGTTTTGAAAAATATATAATTGTATATATATTTAATTATTAACAATCCAGAGTCATTCTGGAAGAAGACTGTTATGAAGTATGTTTTGCATTTGACAAAAATATAATTTTCTGTCTAAGAATGAATCCAATAAATAAAATTTTGTGTGTTTTAAATAAAACATTTGTAACTCCCTAAACTTAACCTTTCTTTCTTAGGTATAGTCATTAAGTGCTTATTTGTTTAAGAGAACTGTTGTAAAAGTCTCTTCCCCCAAAGTCCCTAAATTGTAAATAAAATGGAAATGTTTGTACTGCAACCTCGATTTTTCAAAATTTTAAGTTAGCTACATCTGCATTAAAATTCAAAAACTTGCTAGTAAATGTTTATTATGTAATTGAAAACTTCTTTTAAGTTTGTTGAAATGAAAATCAATGCTTAACATTTATTTTTTTTTTTTTTTATTTTTTTTTTTTTTTTTTTTTTTTTTTTTTTAAATTTTATTAGGATGCTGGTGTGTTTTTTGATGCTTTAAAAGGACATCGTTTAACAGAGAAAGATTATAATTATTGGCGTCAGCTTGCCCAAGAATATGCTAAAAAGAAAGAGGATGAGGAGAATGAGAAGCAAATAACTAAAAAACAAATGGAAATGTAAATTTTTTTAAATTATAATGTCTTTATTTATTTATTTATTTATTCTGTATAAAGCATGTGATAAGAGAATGATTTGATAATATACATAAAAGTCTTTATGTATAAATGTATTTTGAAAAATAGATGCATATAATTTTGAGGAGGAAGGCAAATTATTTTTAAGTAATATTTACTTATCTGCTTAAATTTTTCCCTCTTAACTTTCTAAAGCCGGCTATGGTACAACTGTTGTACCAGCCTTTCTGACCCCCCTTTTAGAGTAACCGTTTATCTTTAGAATCTGTAGGTGGTCCAGTTTCCTGTTCAGAGCAGGCTCTGTGTATGTATTGTGTTCTATTTTTTATCTGGTTGGCTACATTTGGGTGAAGAAGTCTCGTGCCAATGTACTTGAAAATAAAACAGATGCTAATTCAGAAGTCAAACAACAAAAATCAGCGTAATATTTGCAAAATTTTCACAGGACTAGTTTCGATGGTTTTACCGAACCACCATCTTCAGCTGCAAAACCGCAAATGAACAAGATAGGAAATAATGATTAGATAAGATAAGAAAGCCTGGACAAGAATAAGCAAGTGGTGCCATCTGTTGGCGAAACCAGAACTAAAACATAATTTCTCTAAAAGCCGAAGGCAAATTTGGATTGGAATTAGGATCGTTAACTAGAACAGAAAGATTTTTATGAATGTGAAATGCCTCTAGAAAATCCAGTTCTCCAATGGAAGATGTTTTTTGAATAATTTTAGCAGCAGAAAATTGAAAGTGTGGTTTTCGGACCAACAATGTTGAGCAACAGAAGACTTCTGTGTTTCCTTTTTTCTAACATATGCCCTCATGTTCCTTGATGTGAAATTTTAAGGCTCTCTTAGTTTGGCCAATGTAAATTAAACCACACTGGCAAGGAATCCTATAAATACCAGGAAATTCATATCCGGAATGGGGTCTTTGAGTATAGAAGTCCGAATTTTATTGATGGGAGAATAAACAACCCGAAAGTTAAATTTCTGCAAAATATGTGCAACTTTATAGCTAATTAATTGATGGAAAGAAGGGAATGACAACAGAATTTTTATAATCTCCTAAAATAAGAGTCTGGCTTTTAGTGTGTTGAGATGAGAATTTTTTAACTGCTTGATTAATAATGTTGGGTGAAAAGCCCCTGTCAATAGCTATTGCTTTTAAATAATTTAGTTCTTCATCAAGGGCTAGTTTGGAGGAGCAAACTTGAAGAGCACGGAAAACATAGGAATAAAATGAAGCTAACTTTTGTTTAGTCGGATGACATGATTTAAAGTGTGGTGGAAGGCAAACAGATGAAGGTTTACGGTAAACTGTAGTACTGAAATTGGATGTGTTACGTGTGACCAGAATGTCGAGAAACAGAAGAGAATTGCAAGTCTCAAGTTCAAAAGTGAACTGAATAGTATACAGTGAACTGAATAACTGAGTTCAAAAGTGAACTGAATTCTATCGATCCTGCTATTCAGTTCACTTTTGAACTTGAGACTTGCAATTCTCTTCCGTTTCTCGACATTCTGGTCACACGTAACACATCCAATTTCAGTACTACAGTTTACCGTAAACCTTCATCTGTTTGCCTTCCACCACACTTTAAATCATGTCATCCGACTAAACAAAAGTTAGCTTCATTTTATTCCTATGTTTTCCGTGCTCTTCAAGTTTGCTCCTCCAAACTAGCCCTTGATGAAGAACTAAATTATTTAAAAGCAATAGCTATTGACAGGGGCTTTTTACCCAACATTATTAATCAAGCAGTTAAAAAATTCTCATCTCAACACACTAAAAGCCAGACTCTTATTTTAGGAGATTATAAAAATTCCTGTTGTCCATTCCCTTCTTTCCATCAATTAGCTATAATGTTGCACATAGTTTGCAGAAATTTAACTTCGGGTTGTTTATTCTCCCATCAATAAAATTCTGACTTCCTATACCTCAAGACCCCATTCCGGATATTGAATTCCTGGGGTATTTATAGGATTCCTTGCCAGTGTGGTTTAATTTACATTGGCCAAACTAAGAGAGCCTTAAAATTTCGCATCAAGGAACATGAGGCATATGTTAGAAAAAAGGAAACACAGAAGTCTTCTGTTGCTCAACATTGTTGGTCCGAAAATCACACTTTCAATTTTTCTGCTGCTAAAATTATTCAAAAAACATCTTCCATTGGAGAACTGGATTTTCTAGAGGCATTTCACATTCATAAAAATCTTTCTGTTTTAGTTCTGGTTTCGCCAACAGATGGCGCCACTTGCTTATTCTTGTCCAGGCTTTCTTATCTTATCCAATCATTATTTCCTATCTTGTTCATTTGCGGTTTTGCAGCTGAAGATGGTGGTTCGGTAAAACCATCGAAACTAGTCCTGTGAAAATTTTGCAAATATTACGCTGATTTTTGTTGTTTGACTTCTGAATTAGTATTTATTCGGCGTGTTATTGTGTCTTAATTTAAAACAGATGCTATCTCTCTTTCAAACATAAAAACTTTTTCTTGTGATTTCAGTGTAACTTTTTTCCTCATGCTCTTATTCAGTTCTTATTATGGCACCTCATTTCAAAGGTCTCAGTCAGGAGAAAATTAATAAGTTTCTAAGAGATTTAGAAGGGGAAACTTTATTGACACAGATTCGCACTGTTCAGATACAGAAGAAATACATTTTAATCAATCTTTTAATGAAGATAAAAGTGCTGATGACTTCAAAAGCAACGCTAATAATTTATTTGAATGGAAACAACCAAATGAGCTTGCGAAAGCTAACATATTGACCTTTATTGGTAATCCTGGTATAAAGACTGAATTTTCGGAAACTCAACTTGCTGTTCATTTTTTTAAATTTTCATTTGAACTGTTTAAAACTTTAACCAGAGAAACTAATCAATATGCTTCTCAAATCTTAGAGTTGCGGCTAAATATAAGCGAAAAAAGAAAGCATGAAAGCCACTGGACGCCAGTTACATCTGATGAGCTTCAGAAATTTTTTGGATTAGGGGGACGTATTGATAAAGACAGCATTCGAAATTATTGGTCCATGGATAATTGATGCACCAATTTTTCACATAATGTTTCACACATAAGAGGATACTTTATGGAAAAATTTGTTATAAACAATTTTTTTTATTTTCTTTTGAAAATATTCCTGGCTAACCATTTTGATCACTGAAATATAAAAAACATATTTCCTACACTGTAAGTGTCAACACCCAGTATGCCCTTATTATTTTGAAAGTATGAAAGATTAATCTTTTTTAAATAAATTAGAAAATTTATTATGTAGAAGATGTATATCCATTTCATTTAAAATCGAGGAAAAATCAAACATATAATGATGATTTTGAACGAAATCAGCCTATGAAACAAAATTTATGTAGAATTCTTTATAAACATTTAAAACTGTTCTGAAAAATATTTTTGATAAATCTATATTTTCTAAAATTTTAAATCATAGATTAAAATTCTCTTCAGCAAATATTAAAAAGAAGCCTACAGACACCACGAAAATGCAAAGATTTTAAGAAATTACCTTATCAGACTTCACTTCACACTGCAGGTATAAAATGAATTGATTATATGGATATTTGGAGAATATTTTCCCTGCTAACATAAGCAATATCCGATTTTGTAAAGAAAATTCTCTTTACAGATATACCTTCTTTACCCCGATAGTCCAAAGTAATATTTGTTAAAGTTAAATAATCAAACAACTAATATATCTCTGGTTTTCTTTTTTATATTACAATAAGAAAATTATGAAAAAAAGAAACAGATTTAAAGCTTTATTATTGTTTTAAGTTTATTTCAAAATCTAACAGTAATGAATCATATTCTAATCATGTAATAGTAATGAATATTATTATGAATTCCTTATCATTATTTCATTAAATTATAAATTACTATTATTTTATTAATGAAAATAGATTATCAAATATTGCATTCCGACCTACAAGCACATAAAGCTACTTCATATTTGTTATATTTTCCCAAATTATGTTAGTTTCCTAATTTCTAGTAGAAACAAAGACACAAAATTCACAAATTATTACTGAGATTGATCAGAAATAGTAAATGTTATAGAGTTTAAATTAAATTAAAATAAACCTCGAAAAAGTTGCAAATATAGTAACCTATTCTAGACTATTGTCTAGAGTCCGACAAACATGTAAATTTTACTTCATCGATGGAGGGGACAAATGACCAGCCTAACAACTTTTCTCATTAGGGAACAGTGAAGGAGGAGAGAAAAGTGTTTTGGATCGCGCTGTCCTAAAGGTTTATATTATGAGAATTTAAGCCCGGTTTTAATAGGTTAATTAAAAGATTGTCAGAATTTATTGGCAAGCATGGGGAAATTCTAAAGGCAATTCAGTCAAAGGCAATGGTTCTTATTTAGTATTTTGCTAAGTATATGTATTTTACAAATTTATTTATAATTTTAAAAGTCCCAAGTTATAATGTAACAGATCTATGCAGTATAGCTTGCAATGAATTTTTAAATGGATGCGTTTAAAAAGTTCAGTTGGGTCTCATGAGTGTAAGTTACTATATGTAAATTGCATTTATGAAAATCTTGCAATAACTTAATGCAAGAAGCACTGGGAATGTGTTTATATTTATTCTAATTATTGAACATTATAGCTGCATAAAGTTTTCGTTTTTTCCCATATGTGTAATGCAAATATCAAACATGTTCCATTGGAAAAACCTTCTGTGAAGGATATAAGCTAATGTCTATAAAGTGTTTTTCCTTAATCAGATAATTTAATTTAATCTTTGAAAACTGAAGGAGTATTACCTGGGAGCCTTTTAAATAATTACTTAAAAAGCATCACAGCTTTGGAAAGTATTTGACTGGGCTTGATATTTAAATTACTGTTCTTAATTTAGAGGGGTGGATTTACCTGTCATCACTTTTTCATTTGAATAATGAAGATAAAAGGAAAATGATTATTTCATTGGTTTATATGGGAAGTATATACATATATTAATCAATATATATCTTATTCTATGTGAAGAAATTTAGTAGATATGAAAATATCTTTTTTACAGTAGTTGCAGAATTTTTCATATCTCTTTTATTTTACTTCTAATTATTTTATTATTCTTTTTATTTACTTTAGGGAAATTATTAAAAATAATTTAATTGTTTTTTAATTTTCTAATATAATAGAGCTTAATTAAATATGGTATAAATATTTGGAAATAGGGTATTTGAGAAAAAGCAAAGTATTTTATTTTTCATGTGAATTGTTTTCATAGTAAAGGAAATTAACAAATTTAATTATATGATCAGGAATAAATTTTTAGTGACAGAAATTAGTGGCTAGAAAAGCATTAGAGGTAGTAGTGTTGATCTCTTTTAGTGAAATAAATATGATGAAATAAGAAAACTTATGTAATCAAAGAATATGTCCACATATTTTCAGATTTTCAGTAGCAAGTGAAAAGAAATTACTGTTTTAAGAAAAATTTAAAGATCTTAATTTTTTTAATATGAAAAGTGAATTGAATAAAATATTTTAAAAGCAGATTAATATTATAGAAGAGATTCATGTTGAATTTTTTCATGAAGAATCTTCTCCAAATATATATTAAATACTATACTAGTATTGTACTCAGAAATCTTTGAGAATTTTGAACTTATATTATCATTGTTTGTCTCTAAAGGCTCTTAAAATTTTATTTTGGATTAGCCTTTTTAAACTGGAATATAAAGCCATCTCTGTTATTAAATCATGAATAATCTGTCTGTATGTATGTCCATGTGTTCCTTATATTGTGGGTAAAACAGTGGCACCTCTAGCAAGTGAATTTTGAATACACAGAGTCCATTACTGAACATGTGCATCTCGAAGCCAAAATTTTGAATCTGGTTTTCAGTTATTTTATATTCTTTGTGAATTTAATGAATTTTTTATTAACATACTTAACAGCTCAGAAGATGTGTGTTGTCGCTTGTCAAAGTTGTTTATGTTTCATATTTAATTAGAAAATTCCACAATTTAAAAGAAATATGTTACTCAGAATAGTGCAAGATTATTATTTTCCAAATTTAATATGGGAACTTGGCAATTTAAATAAAATGTGTTGCCCCTGCCTGAAATAAAGTATTTTTATCTTCTACATGCCTTTGTGTTGCCACTCTGCAAAACATAAAATATTTAAATTTTCATTCAAATGTAATCTGTTATTGATTAATGAATGAAGTGATAAAAGCAATAAATACAATTCTTCATCTTTGCTATTATTATTACTAGCTAAACTTATTAAAACTGTATATTTTTTCTTTTTTTTTACTGACTATGTTAGATGAGTAATTGTAATAAAAAATTTTTGCTGTAGAAGATTTAAAAAATTAGTTGGAGTTGTATGTCTTTAGATGTATTGATGAAATTTTTAAATTGCACAATACTAAAATACTCTGAATTTCTTACTCTTCATAAATCAGTTCTAATTTCATAAAATTATGTTTACTTCTTTATTAGTATTTATTATTACATTTTATTTTTAATAATTACTTTTTGTTTTTATTAGTCTGTGTTTTTTAAGAGGAATTGAAATCTTCATATGTTTTTTAATTGTAGTTTTAAGACTCATCTTGTAGTAACATGTAATAATTTTTGCATCTGTATTTTAATATAAAAATATCCATATACTATAAAAATAAAATGTTAAGTTAAAAGCTTGTACTTCATAAATAAAATTGCATAAATCAATTTCTTGTTTGTGTGCTTAAGTTTGTTTATTTTTTTCAGTATAATGACAATTACTGAAGATGTTGATTATCAGAAGAAAGTCATGCATCAGTTGAAAAGCCGTATGAAAGAACTAGATCGTATGATGAATTACTCTCATGTGTATTTAGAAAATATTAAGCATATCACTGAGAAAATTAATGGTATATTTTTTACTTTTTCTCAAAATTTTATGCATAGTATTATCATTTTTTTATCTTTATCTATCATCTCTTCATGGATGGTAGCAAATAAAATATCCTGATTAATGGTAACAGTATTTTATTATATTCAGTGTGTTTAAAGTATGTTGCATAATTTGTAATAAAAGACTGATCTAAAAAAAAGTTATTGAATAAATGAAAGAATTTTGTCAACATGCAAATTTAAATCTTTTTTGTTTTTTTAAAAAATTAGAGCTCAGTAAGATAATTTTTTAATTAATTAATGCAGTATTCTCAAACTCAAATGGCATGTGTGACCTGAAGAACAGCTGGCAGGACAAAATGTTTTAACTAAATTTCAAATAATTGATTTAATTTCAAATTTTACTTTCTAAATGTTTATCGAAACACTCAGGAACATCAATAAAACTAACACAAAGGAAAAATTCAAATTTATCATGCTTATATTCTACCTCTAACAAATTTCTCTTGGTTACATTTCAAAATTCAAATGTACTAGCAACTAAATATTAAATTTTTTACTGATATTTATTTCAAGTAACTGTAATATTAAGACACAATAACACACCAAACAAATACTAATTCAGAAGTCAAACAACAAAGCTGACGATGGTGGTTCGGTAAAACCATCGAAATTAGTCCTGTGAAAATTTGAAAATATAACACTGATTTTTGTTGTTTGACTTCTGAATTAGTAACTGTAATGTGTTAAATCAACGACCAAATAACTTACTTTTAACATATACTTGAACAAATTGTGAAAAACCTGCCAAATTTTCAAAGGAACAAAACTTGAGAATAAAAAAACGACATCCTATTCTCTTTCCTTTATGTATTAAATATTTTGTCAACACATGGAGAAAAAATATGTATGATTATATGTAAATAATTATACATTTTTCTATTTTTTACTGCAGCTTGACACTTCATGGCATTTAGAGTCTGAAAATATTTGTCACCTTGAAGAAAAAATTCTAGAAACTATCTACATCATGGAGTAGTAGTTGCTCATCAGTCAGTCAAGCCCTTTTGTTACACTTGTTAATTTTCAGATGTGGAAAAACTGTTTGCATACAAAAGTTCTCCCAGTTAAAGTGATTATTCATGTTTCAAAATTTGCAGCTAAGAATATTTTATCTTGTGACGAGCACAAATAAAATTTAGTCAGATCTGTATCTTCATATCTGATTTTCTGGTATTTATTTACATCAGCTTTTAATAGTAATAAAAGTAATTTAAAAATCTGACTCCAAATCATAAAATTCTTTAATTCTGCCTTCAAGTTCTGATTGCAATAATGCTATTTTTGCATATTCTTGAGATTTTTTATTTGGAATTATAGGAAAGGATTCGAAATGTAGAAAAATGTGCAGAATTTTTTTATTTCATTTGTGTTTTCCATATTTGCTGTTTAAAAGCTTTAATAGAAGCTTTCATGTCTGTGATAAATTTATGGTTTCTTTGCAGGTCTTTTTTGAGAATATTTAAATAGCTGGTTAAATTAATAACAAGTGCTAAATCTGTTATCCATGTGTCATTATGTAGCTCGTTGATGATTTTATTCTTTTGCATAATGAAAAAAATTTGATTTCATTTATTAAATCAGTAAATCATTTTAATACAGCTCCTTGACTTAAGCATCTCAACTCATTATAATAAATCATTTCTCCATGCTCACTTTCAATTTCTTCAAATAATACAGCTAATTCTTGGTGATTCAGAGCTCGTCCATGTATGAAGTTTATCGTTTTAATTACCGATTACATAATATCGCTCATTTGCAAACTTTTGGCACAAAAGGTTTCATGATGAATAAAACAAAGTACAGTGCAAAACTGTGCTGAAAATTTTCTTCTTTCATTCTGTTTCTTAATTTTACCACAACTCCCATTCTTTTTACTGACCCTAGCAGGTGCATCATCACTTGCAAATCCAGATTTATTTATTACAGTTTTTATTTTGGAAAAAAATAATTGTGTTCAGCAGTTTTTCCTTTCATAGAAATTATTTCCAATAATTTCTCAACTACTACAAATTCATCAGTAGCACCTGTACGAAAACGGCAAGCTATGCTATACACGTGATGTCAGTGCTCTCTTCAACTGCTATTAAGAATGCTGCAGAATCTATATTTTTTTCATTTAATTGACGTCATAAATCACTGGCAATTTTGTTAATATGATCTGCTACTGTGTTGGTTGACAAATTAATATTTGTGCATTGTTGTTTGTCAGTACAAAGAAATTCAAATGTAATCAAATTTATCATGCTTATACCCATTCTTAATAAATTAACCATCACTAAATGGTTTTGATCTTTTAGCAGTGATGTGTTTGGAAGCAAAACTTGTATGAACTATAGCTTCACTTGATATATTTGATTCTATAAAAACATTTTGCTGTTGTAAGCTAGATTAATTTTTCTTTATGATTTGTTTCATTAATGGCAATGTAAGTTATATTCTTCTGGAACTGATATTCTGTTATTACAAATAAAACACAGTGTAATTGCACACAATACCCAAAAGTACATTTATTTATGTCCCATTTATCTTGAAAAACATCTCTTTCTCTCACTTTTCTTTTACCCTTTGTTAAAAGCGTAGCTTGCAATTTAATTTAATTAAAATCATAATTATAATTTTGTTTGCAACATAAATTCAACAGGATGAATTTTTACATGAAAGCAGCATTCGTGTTTTGCACAGTTTCTGGTATTGATGTAATGTAGTTTTAACATCAAGCTCAAGTAATTGGTTTTACTAGCCATATGTTTGTTTTCATCTATTTGGCAATATGAATTGCATAGCTTCTTCCAGCTTACAAACTACTGTCTCACTAAAGGAAAGTGAAGGTACCAACTTATTGGAGAGGGGCTGCGTACTGTCAGCTGGAAAACAAATATAGTAATTGTACCCTTGTCCTACCTTAGCCTAGTCATTTAGCTTGGCATACAAGTACACAAATTCTGTAACTTTTTTATTTAACCTACATCAAAATCTATTCATTCTGTTTCTTTTTCATTCAATAGCAATAATGCATATAAACACAATCTATATGTTTCTGATTTTAATATTTTAAATTCTCTCTTTCTGAGATGCAATGATTAGAATTTTTTTCTCATTAACTTACTTCTGCGGGTCTGTCTGAGCATTATTATATATATTCATTACATATGTACTTTTGGCTGTGTACTAGTGCTAACTTTGAGCTCATTTAGATGTAATGGCTGCTAAAATGCTTGTTAGCACTTTTCTGTTTTTTAATAAACATAGTATTGCAATTCACTGTCCAATAAATTTATGCCACGTCAAAATCTATAAGAACTTTATGAAAACAATTGCATAACTGAAATGCATTGGCGTGCTGCATAAAATTGGTTTCGAGGCCGCCAGTTGTAGCCCACTGAACTAATGCAGCAGAATTTGTTTGTTTTCTTTACTGAGAAAATTTTCATTGTTAAAAGTGATCACAATATATCATAATGTTTCGTAGTCACATCAAACTTTAAAACTGGTAATAATCAGAAAATTTTTTAAGTATGAATTATCATCTCCAGTGCTCTTTTACAAACTTTCAGATTTGTTAAGCATTTTTAGTTATATTTCGTATAAATGAATAAATTTATAAAGGAATATTCAAAATATGAAGTGTGTAAACAAATTAACTTTCCCCCATTTGATTTTTCATTATCTTAAGTAAAAATATAAATTTCAATGATGAAAGTCATAGATATTTAATATATTTATAATAAAAAATTTTCATTCTGTGCATTTTTAAATAATGTAGCTGCTATGTGATGAATAAATTGTCAAGGATATTAAATAATGAAAGATTTAAACTTCTGAAAGTTAACAACTTCTTTCTCAGTTCTTACTTTTGAATCGGATTAATTTAAATAATAAAATTTTGTCCTGTTAAAGTGGAATTTGACAATTCTCACACCATCCTAATCTATAAATTATATCTTTGCTGACTGATCATAAGCAAATGTATGTCAAGTAATCATAAGTGTATCTGTATGTCATAATCTGCAGTTTTTATTTGTTTTTTATTAATTTGCATATCATAATATGAGAATGAATAAATGTTTCTCATTATTAAAAGTCTGTCTTGATTTTTTAGTTGCATGATTTTATATTTTTTTATTTATGTTTTGATATTGCAAAGGTAAAAGTTGCTGAGCTTTCAGGTGTTAAGCTGAAATGCTACTAATTGCAAGTTTGAGATTGATGTCTTTTTCTTTTTATGAAAATTTCTTTGCAAATTAAAGCGTATAATTTTTATTCTGAAATGCTATGTATGAAAATTACAATCTCTGCATTTTATGTTTTTTGCACAGAAAGAGGCTTACAAAGCCAAGAAGCTATACATTGTCTATCTCGACACACACCTTATCCTGGAACAAGAGTACAACGCTATCCAGTTCCTGACAAATATGTTCCATGGGAAGTTATGTGGACTGATTATGACCCAGTTGCGTACACTCGACCTAGAAGTGATTTTCCTGTTTCACTTCAAGCTTATGTGGATGAAGATCTTTTGCTGTGCGTAAAATTGGATGCATTTAATTTGAAAATATAACTTTGAATACAATTTAAAAGTATAAATTAATACAAAGATGTTTAGAAATAACTTTTATAAAAAAAATCTAAGTGATTTTTTGTGATTAAATTTAACCATTTTTTCAACTAATTTATGAAAAAGTAGTCAAACTTTATTATAAGCACAGGGTTATGAAAATGTTTCTTAGTTTTAACCAATACTTACTGTATTAGAAGGTGAGTTAGATTTAAAAAGAAGCAAGAAGTATTAAAAAGAAAAGTAGTATTATATATCTGTATATTTGTATTAATTCACTTGATGAACTATCAGATTGATTAATTTCAAATAAATTTATCCGATTTTGAACATTTAATAACATTTTTTGCAAAGCTAAATGCATTTGCTTTCCAAGAATAGACATTATTTCAGGCAATCTTTTATTTGAATTTCAGTCAAACCTTTATTTGAAATCTTAAAACTGTTTTTTTTTCTTTAAGGTCTTTATATTTCCCAAATTTTATTTTTAAGATATTTAATGCTTTAAAAATTCCTTCATTTGTCTTACTTTCTTCAAAATCATAATCATTATATCTGTTGCACCTTTGGGATTATTAGTATACTGGTTAATTAATTATCCCCTTGTAGTCAACAGATAAAACTACTGAATACTGCTAGCTTATTCTTGATACAGCATCTTTCAACTAAAAGTATTATCAGCAGTGGTTTTTGTAAAAGCATTCCTCTTAAAATAGAAAACTGAAATGCTTTTTTATAGCTAAACATAGTTATTGCTTGTCATTACATCATCAGTAGTCATTATCATATTTATTGATACAGGAAGCTTAAGTTTTTTATGCAAAAGCTTAATTTTTAAAAAATTATCAATTTTTTAACTCTTTGCAGTAAATAAATTTCATATTTTAGGCTTCGAGAAATTCAAGATTCAGATGATAGTCAGCTGCCAGTCTTTCAGTGGAACTGCCTTTCTGCCAATCCAGCTGGGATCAGTATTGATAGAACATCTTGGATAATAGGAGAAAATGGAGTAAATGCAGTTTATAAACTAGACAGCGAAAGAGTGCCTAGGTTTGATATTATTAATCCCATGCTCAATATTTGTTTCTGATATGATTTGCTTTGTAGAAGTATTTAATTTTCAAAATTTTAATTTTTCCATATAATTTTTGAACATTCATTTTCTGTGGCTAACGTAAGTTGTAAGAATAGAATACATTTTTAATGCAAATTATTTATATGGCAATAATAATATAATTCCTAATGGTAATGAAGTGTAATAGATTCTAACTTCAGAGAGTATTTTTGATTAGCCCAATCATAGGTTGAGTTATTGATTATTGATTTGTTAAAACATCTGTTCAACTTATGTGTTTTTTAAGTCCTGCAAGGTGAGACAAATACAGCAGTTTACTTATTTGGGCCAGATACTTAACTAAATTGTAAACTAATCGGCAATTTTATCAATAAATCAAAATTTTCTGGAATTCTACTATCAGGTGTTCTTCATAGCTTAACTTAAAAAGCATTCAAAAAATATACTATGTGATGAAAAATGTTATCATAGTTGAATATCGGTAAAATATGTCTACAAAAGTGGGTCTAATGACAACTTCTACACAAATTTTCATGCAACATGGAACTTTAAACAGAACACAAGAAATTTAATAATAAAGTCAAACTACTAGTCAACTAATTGAAAAGTATGCAAACCTATTGCTATTGATTTGAAAAGGTCAAGCTGAATGCTTTTCTGAATAATTTGATGTATTCAAGGTTTCAGTTCTTTCCAGCTTAATAAGAAAAAAACTTTGTTTCTCACAAGCTAATAGAAGAAAAGAAAATCCTGTAGTTGTATTATGTATTTATACATACTGCTTACTAAAAACTGCTCCTAATCTTTGATTTTATTTGATTTTGTTCACATAAATGAGATATGGTGTTTTAACCCTCTCAGCATTACGGCTGGAAAATTCCGTATAGAAGGCTGCCTTCTACTATATTCATTATACATGAAAATTTCTCCTAGCTTTTAGGGTATCTGATTTTGGTTTGGATGTATATTGGAAGGCAAGGAATCAAGGTACAAAATGAGAGAGTCATTTTTAATTAAAATCAAGAAAATATCACTTATTCATGACATTTTGAGGAACTTTGAAATTTCAGGCTAAACCTGTAACGCTCAGAGGGTTAAGTATGCCATAAACTATGTACATCATGTAAATTTGCAGGTTTGTCCAAAGTATTTCATTTATAGAAGTTGTGAATTATTATCCTGATCATTTAAAAAAAGGAATTCTTTAGATTTAATTTAGAAGGTAAAACTGTAACTTGAATGTTATGAATTATCTTTGATAAAGAAATTTTACATTTTGGCAGGAATAATGAAAGTGATGAAGCTGGTATATATTGCATGTAGTGCTTCCCTCAGGAAATCAGTTTTTTTTTTTTTTTATAGTCCAAAGGGATTGAGTCCCAAAGGACTACTTTCGTACTTTCGTTTTGGCATTTTGCGTCAGACTCCTATAAATGTCAGTTCACTTTTCAAACTTTTGCCACAAAATGTTAGAGTCCTTCATTATATTTGAAGAAATTAAATAATGAAAAATCTGCATAAATGTATGTATATTTCTCACATTGTGATAAAATAATGGTACATAGAGCCATCGAGTTTTGAATGACGTAATCCTCCAACGAATACGGCCGTGTGGAAAACCAAATTTGGAATTTGTTTATTATCAATATCCTATTTTGTGAAACTTTAATGAATTTTTGATTAACAAACTCAAGGATTTCAAAGCGAGCAATGGCAACGTTGTGCAGAAAAAACATTTTTATCTCCTGCGCGCGAGTCTCTGTATCGGAAATTTCAAAGATATGCTAATTTTAAAACTATTTTGCAATATTGCTGTGGAACTGGAGCTTATGGATTAAGTGTGAAGAAAATGATATTTAATAAAAGAAAAAGGTAACACATAAAATGTTAAAAAACACCTCTTTGGACGTAATTTAAAATCTGAAACTCCCCCCCCCCTTTTTTTCGGGGGGGGAGTCCAAAGAGGGGCAATTTGCCCAGAAGAACTATTAATTTCGTTTTGGCATTTTGCATTGGTTCACTATAAATGTCTGTTCATTTTTCAAATTGTTGCCACCAAATATTATTGCCTTGTATTATATATAAAGAAATTAAATAATGAAGAGTCTGCATAAATGTATGTTTCTCGCATTGTGATAATACAACGGTGCCTACAGACATCAAATTTTGAATAACGCTCGTTTCCACCCGAATATGGGCACCTGGAAACCCAAATTTGGAATTTGTTTTATTATTTACTAACTGCTATGCGTTCAACCTTTGTCTGGCTTTTAAATGTACCACAAAAATGCCTAAAGAGAACAACATTAAATTTAAAGACTGTACAGAATTTTACTCTGCAGAACAACTTTATCAAAAATTTAAAAAAAGAAAGAATGAAAAAACATGAATTTCAATAAAAATGTATTAGATATTACAATTAAATAAGCAATATCCCTTAACACAAATATTAATTATCCTAATAAATAAATTAACTAACTTCCCATTGCAAAATGTTAAGAATTCAAGTGGTATAAAGGAAGTTAACCTTTTATATAATTAAAATTATATATAGTTAAAACATAATATAAAAAAATCACAATGAAATAAGCAATAAATCTCATATTTTTCAAGAGAAAACAGTCTGCAGTCCAGTATCCAAAACAATGAATGAAAAACTGTTGCCAAAACCACATTTCTAAAAGAATGATACTATCACCAGAAAGCAATAACCAGTCAAAAATTGTGCTTTGTGGATAACATAATTCAAAATATACAAACATCTTTGCCATTAGCTGATAAAGAGAGAGGGGGAAGTAAATTTTTTCAGCTGTGCCTCACAATACACATGCACATCAGGATGAGAAGATTGGGATGTGCATGTTGTGTGTCCAAAAATCAAAAGAAAAAAAGCAGCATGAAATAAGCAATGACCCTTAATACAAATATTAATTATCCTAATAAATAAATTAACCAACTTCTCCATTGCAAAATCTTAAGAATTTAAATGATATAAAGAAAGTTAAGAACTTCGTTTCTTAAAAAAAATACGAATCTTTTTCAGTATTTTAAAAACAGTTGAAAAAGCAATAAAAACATGAAAAGGAAAGTATAATTAATAATATTTTACCTCATTTTCAACAGTCAGCAGTCCAGTATACAAAGCATTGAATGAAAAACTGTTGCCCAAACCTCATTTCTAAAAGAATGCAACCATTCAAAATGATCTAATTTCATCAAAAAAGATAAAATTTAAAAAAAAAAAATCTGATTCGAATTTTGAAAAAATCGCTCCAAGGTGCACTGGCTCTTGTCTAAATGCACCTATGTACCAAATTTTGTAGCACTGGGTCTATTGGTTTACACACAGCACGAACAAAAGTCACACTCACTGACAGACTCTTTTATTATATATAGAGATTTTCTAATTTGTAAACTTTTAATGAATTTTTGATTAACAAACTCAATGATTTTAAAGCGAGCAGTGGTCAAACTGTACGAAAAAATATATCTCCAGTGTGCGAGACTGTGTATCGGAAATTCTAAAGGTATGCTCATTTTAAAATTATTTTGCGATATTGCTGTTGAACTGAATTTTATGGTTTAAGTGCGAAGAACATGATACTTAATAAATAAAGTTGTTAACACGAAACATTAACAAAGTTCCTTTGGGCGTAATGTAAAATCTGAAATTTTTCAAATTTTTCTTTTTTTTTTTTCCTTCTTTCTCCCCCAAAATTGTATTATATAATATGCTTGTCTCTGAGATTTATCACCATGGAGTTATTTTTGTGTTAGAAGCAAGATATCGATCAAAGAAGCTGAAGCCACCTAAACTGCCTGTTGAAATTATTTCTGTTTCCCTCCGATGGAGTCAATTTTTCCTTTATTTTTATCGCTTGTCGCTACTAGGTCGCGTGACCGGCGGCAGAAAAAGAATGTAATAACTCTTTTAGTTTAGCTTGAGAGTGACGCTTGAAATGAGCTTTCTTGGCAGCTGGCAGTAATCGGCAATTACAATATTGTTCTTGAAGTATTCAATCTTGGCCCTATGATGAGTAATTTTATACTACCGTAATTTCCGGAAGAAAGGCCGCATCAGCGTAAACGCCGCACTCGAGAAAAATGGCGGGGAAAAATATAAAATTACACAGAAATGCCGCAATAGATTAAATTGCGTGTGACATCGTCGTGGGCCGTATAGATGCAAAAACTGAACCTAAGTCCTGATATATGACATACCAGTTAAGAAAAATGCATGAAATGAAACCATAACTCAAAAATAAATTAAAGGTAATAAATGCGGAAAATATATTTACCTTCACGTATATACTTATATTTACCCACTAAAGAAGTCCATATTTGTAATACTCAGAATATATTATAAAAAATGTTGAAACAACGAAATATTAAATTTGGATGACAAAAGGAAATTTAAAATTTTATTTACGAATTACAGCAAACTATATATCATATGAAGCCATCAAAATCTGATTCTTCACTATCTGAATTAAAAAGATTTAGTAAATCCTGATCTAAGTCTTCCAGATTGTCACATTCATCCTCTTGGTTTACAGTCTCTTTATCTAAGGATATAATTTCAGCTTCTTTGAACCCTGCTATTATTGACGATGTTTCTACCGATTTCGATGCACTTCCTGCCCACTTGGCAATTTCTTCATAAGATGCACTGCGAATTTTACCACTTTTAGTTTACATATGCAATCCTTCATTCATCCAACACTCCCACCGCTTTCGGACTTCAGCTTTGAAGGATTTATTACCTGACAAATCTAATGGTTGTAAGATTTTTGTCAAACCACCAACCAGGAATTATTGCTTCGGTCGTAGACAATTTTTGACATCTGGTTTTCACTGACTGAAAGAAATGAGCACGCATGGAATCCATTATCAATAACCCCTTTGGCTGGAAAAACGATCCCATACGACACTGCCAAACTTTTTGTAGCAACTCATGCATGATTGTTTCACACATCTAGCCGTTCTAGTTTGCCCAAATAATTATGTCATTAGGAAAATCTCCCTTCGGAATCGGCCCACCAGCGGCTGAGCGGTAAAGTCGCTGAACACTGGTTGTTCGGTCCGAGGTTCGAATCCCGCGAACGGGCTGGCTGCATGAATGTTTTCGTAGTTTTCCCCATGTGTAAGAGCCAGTTTCCCTTAGAAAGTCCTCCACGAAGGCATCCCTCCCCTTAGGCAGATAGCCCTAGTGTGCTTTGCCATAATTAAATACACCAACACCACCCTTCGGAATAGTCTTTCGTTTAAAAATGATCATCGTTTAGCTTGTCACCGTTTGCGGCACAAGCTAACACACATGTAAATAACGTTCTTTCGTGCCCCGTCATAAACACAGATACAGTTTTTGCACCAGTTTGATCAACAGTTCTGTTTGCAGTAGAGTCAAAAGCTAACAGCGTTTCATCCATATTTATTATCTGTGACCGAAGATTTTTTTTTTTTTTTTTTTTTTTTTTTTTTTTTTTTTTTTTTTTTTGTTCATCAATAATAGCTTGTCACATATTTTAGAAAAGAAGACTTTTTTATCCAGCCAGTCCATTGGTTATTGTTGTCACAACTGCTTGTTCCAGTATCGTATAGAAATATTTTTTCTTTTTATAAATCTAGTTACACCAGCAAGGTCCTCCTTTGAAATCATTCATGTTCATTCGTTTTTCATCATAAATTTTGCTTGTAAGCGAAATTTGTACAGTCGAAATTGCCCATTCCTCTTTCCTCGTTGCTTCTTTATATCCAGGTTTACAAGGTCGTCCTCTAGATTGGGCCACCTTTACAGTACCACTTCTTTTGGCTCGTTTCTGTTGCGGCATATTTTTAAGAAGTTCTTTTTCAGTTCTCCAATGTCGAATACTCTTGTCTTTCACTTCAAACTCTTGAACTGCTGCTCTGATTTTTAATTTGTTCAGCACATGAAATTACATTAAGCTTAAAACCAGCAGTGTAGCTTCTGTGCCATTTAGATGCCATTTTCAAAAATTTTTCCGCTCCCTTCTTACTTTAAAAACTATTCAACAAGTACTTGTACCCAAACTGATGGGATCTGTATCTGGCAGAATACCAAGAAAATCCATTCAAGCTGAATGGGAACACGTCAGAGTTCGTTACTGCGAATGCAGGTGGAGTCGTGTCTGCCTTTGAAAAAAAATCACAGTAGATTTACAATACGGGTGGGGAACAAGATAGGGTCCTGGAAGATTCATCGAATGGCAGAGGAAGAAGAGACTATTTAAACTGATGAGAATGCTGAATTTGAAAGAGGGAAGAATGTTATTGTTCCGAGATCTCCATTTAGGGTGAATAAGGCATGTAGGTCTGTTCAAGGGAAAGAATGTAAACAAAATAACGTTCGCAAAAAGCAACTGAGTGGTCTTTTGTGTGGGAACAGCACCAGTCTATGCACAATGACCATCATAGGAAATATTTTATTTTTAGTGCACCTAAACGCCGCACCCGCTGAAAATTTAAGTTTTAAACACGTAAACGCCGCGGCGTTTCTTCCGGAAATTATGGTATATGTAAATTTCATGTTTGAATAATGTACATATTGTAAATAGTTTCTTCATTAAATCTTACTGTATTTCAATTGGAACTTGTCATTCTTGAGTTCTTTACTTGAAAATGGATAAGCTGACTCTTGATAGGCTATTAAGTTTATGCTCTCTCAACTCGTTATAAAAGTTAATCGTGAAATGTGATCAACGCCATCATAAGAATCAGAGAGTATTCATAGTAGTAGTAGAGAATACTATTCAAAACTGCTTCATGATGATTGGTATTATATTGATGTAAAAGAAGTATATTTTTAATAAAAAGTTTGATTTTAAGCAAACATGGCATTTTATGCTTTAATTTTTAAAGTGATTTCTCTTCAGACATAACATGCATATTAATTTATTGTGTCTTGAGATATGTGAACTGTTATTAAGCATGAAGAAGTTGACTGGTTTAAAAGTATGTTTCATATGCATTGAGAAAATGGGGAATTCCATTAAAAAGAATTTATTTGAGCTATTCATCTGGTTTGGTTTTATTTATACTTTGAATAATAGTGCTTAATTATTGTAATGGAATGGTATATGTAAAGGAAAATAAATTTTCAATTAAACAAGTTTTGCGTAATTTTAAATTGGAGTATGCATTTATAAAAGTATAAAAACAACTTGTCTTATTATTCACAATCTATTGTTTCTTTTTATTGAAAACTATTTTTCTAGGAATATCTATGGAAGAACAGGGTTGAGAGGTCGTGGTGCCTTGCCTCGCTGGGGTCCTAATCATTATGTCCATGTTATAATAACCAGGTCAGATTTAATTTAATATTTTAGGGAGCATTTTTATAAAAATGTTTATAATTTTATTACAGCTATCCACTTCACTCATTTAAGGGTTATATGAAAAAAAAAAAGGTTAATTTTCAAACAGATTTAGTAGATTATAATTTAAATTATGAAATTATTGCCAACTTTGTCATTTTATTGTGTTTTTAATTTTCTTTTAATTTAATAATAAGCTTATATATGTGACTTTGCAGTTATACATTTCTCTGAACATAAATAAATCTTTTTATGTTTTATAAAAATGAAGCTCTCAAATGCTTTGTCATAGTCATCTAAACAAGTATTAACTGTAGAAAATCATTTTATATTTTCACCCCTTTTTTTATATATATAGCTTTCATTTAATATTTAATCATTATTTTTATGTTTTTTATTTATGTTAAAACTCATGACACCTGTAGTAAATTTGAAGTACCTTCTTACAGCTATGTGTGATTTCTAATGGGTGTCAGTAGATTCCCATATCACAAGTTGCCATGAAGATGTGAAATGAAAATTCCATTCAAGACAGAAACACTGAAAAAGTAGATTAGCTTTAATGAATATCTACCTGACAAATCTAATTTGAAATACATTATAAGATAACAGTCTATCTGCATATATTTTCGAGTACTGATCTAATTTATCAGATCATGTTTCATTTTTCTTTATGAATTGTGATAAGATAACTTTTAAACAACTTTTCCACTTGTCTTATTTCTGTTTGTCTGTATGTCAAATTCCAAAGGGTAACTTATCTTTTTCCTATCCTGAAGGTGGCAAAAATCTGGAGGAAAAGGTCTTGAATTTGTTGTTATGCGAGGAGAAAGAAGAGATCAGTTATCATTGCCAGGTGTAAGTTATGTAATATTTTCTTCATATATTCATGTGTTTTTGCTTGTACCAGTGCTCATGTCAATCTTGAATCAACTTTTTTAGGATCAGGGTTTTTGCTATCTGTATATGCATTAAATACAAATAAAGCAATGATGCATGTAAAATTTAAATGAGTTTGAAAGTGTTATTTACAGTATTCATAAATGTAAGAAAACTGTGTTTAAATGAAGATTGTGGCACTCCTTTGTAGCTTCACAAAAGCTGTAAATTTAATCTTAAATTGTTTTTGAATGATTCACAATTTATGAATTAAATTATATTCTTTTCATGCATTTTTATATGGCAAATGAACTGTAATATATGTAACCAAATACAAAAAGTAATTTTCTGTACAGTATGAAAATTTCATAATTGTAAAACGTTGTTGAACCAGTCTCATCTTTCTTTTTCTAATATATATTTTTTGTAATTTTGAAATTTTTTGTGTCAAGGGTTTTGTTCCGGGTGAGCAAAAATATGATGTTGTTCGTGTGTTATTCAAATCCAAGGAGTTAGCTCCAAGTTCTTGGAATACTCAAGAAAATATGATAGATGTAAGTAGCTTATGGTATTTGTTATTTTAAATATCTTCCCCTACTTGATGGAAAATATTATGAATAAAAATTCCATGTGATTTTTTCCCCTCAGGGGCTCACTTTTGTGAGTACAGGTGTGGCAATCCGAGGTACCCTAGCCCTTCAAGGAATCATCTTGTTGGTGAGACGGGTGTCACGATCTGGAGCCCCAGTGATCTATCCTCTTTTCTGTCTCCTCTCCTCTTGGCTGGAACTTTTTCCTTTCCCTTCTCCCTTGTGGTTTCTCTCTTTGGAGTTTGGGGCTCGTCACGAGAGACTGGAACAGCCCTTGTCTCTAGTTTTTGAGTGGCGAGAAAACTGCCCATGTGTTTGCCGTGCGTGGAGACCCATGTCGCTGGAAAGGAGGGTCCTGGTAGTTAAGGGGCGAGGTACTGTCCCAAACACACTACTTTGGCCTCTGCTTCAGCTAAACGGGAGGCACCTTAGTCGTCCTCACGGGTGTCAATCGGCTGGTCACTAGTCCTTGTGTCAGTGGCTTGAGGATAAGCTCTCGGGAGTGCCTGCTTTCGGGAAAGCCGACTGTGGGGCTTCAGTTTTCATATAGACCTGGTTAGCCCTGGTGCAAGAATCTGTGTCCCCTTGTTGGGCTCCGTGGTGTGTGGGGCTGCTGGGTCCGAATCATACTTCATCTTCAATATGGCCTCTTCAAATGAAAAATACAAAACTTGTCTTCTATCAAAAAAAGTAAAAACGAATGTGAATGCAAATGCTAAAGAAACTCTACCTACATTCCTTGTCATAACAAACTCAAAAGGTGAACTTCTAAAAATGTCACCATTCCTGATACAAAAACATATACAAGCGACTATTGGCGACAAAGACAATAAAACGACTGCGCTCTGGAGACCTTCTTATTGAAACAGTTTTCCCAGCTCAATCTGCTACCCTCCTCAAACGGAAAACTTGGGCAAGTTGAAGTTAATGTGACAAAACACAAATCCTTGAATTACAGCTGGGCCGTTATATCTGAGACTGACCTCATCTTTGTCTCAGAAGAACAAATTTTGTCAGAACTGTCCAATCAGAATGTCAGTGCTGCAAGGTGGATCAAGATGCGCAAAGAAGGTCAGCTGGTCAATACAAAACATGTAATCCTGACTTTCAATTCGAATGATCTGCCGAAAAGTATTAAGGCCGGGTATTTGCACTGGCCCGTAAGACCTTACATACCTGACCCCTTACGATGGTTTTCAATGCCAGCGATTTGGCCACTCAAAAATGTCCTGTCATGGCAAACTCACATGTGCACGTTGCTCTGTGGAAGGCCATGACAGTGAAAATTGTAGTGCCAGCCCACTATGTACAAATTGCAATGGGGAGCACACGGTATTCTCTCGATTTTGCCCAAAATGGCAGTCTGAGAAGGAAGTGCAAAATATAAAAATAACTAGAAATATTCCTTATGCAGAAGCAAGAAAACTAGTAGCAGATTCTCAGTCTCGAAAAACTGTATCTGCTGGAAAATTCTTTACTGCTGGATTCCTGGACACATAGGAATAAAAGGTAATGAGTTCGCAGATATCACAGCCAAAGCTGCTGTCGAGGAATCTAGTCAACTCATTCCTCTCAGATATCAGCCAAACCATCAAGCAGAAAATTTTAGATAAATGGCAAGAAATTTGGGACGCACAATTAAATAATAAGCTAAGAAGTGTGAAGCCTAGAGTGCTATTTTGGGAAAGTACTCGAAACCGAAGGGAAGAAGTACTCTTGACTGGTATTCGAATCGGCCACTCCAGAATCATGCACAATTATCTTCTCAAAGCAGAGAGGGAGCTAATTTGTCCCTACTGTGATAGCATTTTATCTGTTCGTCATTTTTTAATAGAGTGTCCGAATTTTAAATGACTAAGACTAAAGCATTTTAGCGAGTGTGACTTGCCTCCTGACCGTTTAATCGGGAAAGAGGCCAATAATAATTTATTTCTATACTTAAAAGAAACATGTTTCTATTATTTAATTTAATTTAGCCTTTTATTATAGTATAATTTTAATGTGTTTCATCGCTTGTTACATATCATTTGCTTGAGTTTTAATACCTCCTCCTTTTAATGTTCACCATTTCATTATTTCATATAGATTTTTGACTTAGCTAATTGTTGTTTTATAAAGTTTATCTGTCTTTTTATAAAATACCATGTGTTTGGCGCATATAACCTTTCTGATTATGCGCCATTAAGTCTACCACTACCACCACCACGAGGTTGCATGTAAAACCTACCATGTGTTTGCCGCATGTAATCTTTCTGGTTATGCGCCATTAACTCAACCACCAACACCACCATGTGATTTTTCATAAGAAAAAGTATCGTTCTTTATGCATTTATTCGAACCTGTCCTGCAAAAATCTTAAGAGACAAATATTTAAACTTTGTGTATTAATACGTAAACTGAAAATTTTAAATCTGTGCATTAGTTGAATTTAATTTTTAAAAAGTTCTTAATTTTTTATGCACTTTTTGGTACTCAAAACAAAATTAGATTGTTGAATTTAAACTGAGTGCTAATAAAATAGTAGAAGTAGCTGGAATGATTTATTCACTGAAATAATGAAACAAGCAATAACAGAGAAAAAAAATTAATTTAGCATGGTGTGTTCTTTCTATGCACATAAAAATTATTTTTGGAAAGTTCTTGAGTGTACAGAATGTACAGTAAGCTATTTTTATATAGAAAATTCTGATCACACATGCATTAAAAAGTGTCCTTATGTAAAATACCTTAATTACTAAATACATTCTTATAAGCTAAAATTTTCTTCAGACTTATGCTGTTATTAGTAATTTTCTTCACTTTATTGCTTATTGAGATTTTGCAAGCTATGTTTTTTAAATGTTTGGGAGACATTAACAAAATTTATAGCAATACATAATGAATATTAATTTAAAAAATGTTGATATAATGTATAGCAAGTTACTGACTGTTCAGTTAGGAAAGAAAGGTATTAACAAAAATGCCAGAATTAAGTGTAAACTAGTAAATACAAACATTAATGCAAATCAGTTAAATAATTCTCAGAAACATCAACAAAGAATTTTGAGTTACTTTAGAAAAGGCATCAAAATAGTCTTAAATTTCAAATGACTTCTACAGGGTGGTGCAGGGAAATGGGAAATTTCGAAATAACGTCATTTCCACGAATAAGTTCATAAAACTAGTAATTTAGTAAAGTGCATGTATTCAGCATGCCATTTATGTTTTTACAATCAAAATGTCCAAAAGTGTCTCTTTACTTTTTAAGATGTGCTCTCATTCGGCGTTTCACACTCTAACAGCCTGTTATGAAAACTGTGGAAGGTGCAGTGTAGCAAATCTTGGGGAATGGCAGTGATTTCTTTTTCAATGTTCTCCTTCAGTTCATGGATTGTTGCAGGACGTGTACTATTGCACCTATTGTGTATTGTTGCACCTTGCCTTTAAGATATCCCCACAGGAAGAAGTCGTACACACTAAGATCAGGGGGATCTTTCGCTACATCACATTCCTCTCACAGCTACTGCACGTTCTGCACTAGTCCAACGATCCATGATTACTAAATGGCAATGCGCTCACAACAATTGTGCAAAGTTTCGAACAACTGCCGAATCTTCAGTGCTGCCAACTGTAACATTCAAAATTTCCCGTTTCTCTGCACCACCCTGTATAACTATTTTTAAAGTTTGCTCTTTCTACATGAATGATACAAAAAGAAAAAGAAAACACAAGAATTAAATTTATGGGGAGCAATATAATGATGAATGCAAAAATTTTCAAATTCACTGTTTTATTCTAGTTTTAAGTTCTGAATAAAAATTTGCAACTACCATACTATGTCTTGTTTAACCATTTGACTGCTACGTGGCACAAAAGTGCTGCGTTCATTTGTCTCGAAAAACGTGAGCTGCGAGCTTCAGTGTGTATTTGTTGCTCCATGGATGTGAACGTAGTCTGACCTTGCGCGTACTTTGTAGCATGAGTGCATTCTAAAATAACTAACTGCGTCATGGTTTTCAAGACAAATGAACACAGGGCTTTTGCGCCATGTAGCAGTCAAACGGTTAATCTGTATCAAATAAGTTGACAGAACGTAAGTCAGTTTCAGAAAATTGTATTTGTTTAGTTTACTGTATATTTGCATTTTTTACTGTATACCGTAAAACTCCAAAGTTTTCAAGAATTAGGGGTTTATGATCTTAACTGGGGAGACTTATTAAGAGTGAAAACTAATTGCAAGCAAAGGTATAGTTAGTGAACAACTTTAAAATATGATGAACATCAAAAGAGACAGCATAATTCATACATTGGTAAATAAGGTGTCACAGGAAGAGTGTGGCAGTTTTTCATGCATATTTGGAGGACTAAAAGAAACAAAATGCAGTTGTAATGGTTTCAGTATGATGTTTCATTCAGGAGAAATGTAAACTCGGAATCTACTGATGTCACTCCAACTTAACAAATAGACACCCATGGATTTATTTTCAGTGATATGTTCTTTGTCTGCAGATCACCAAAATTGGAACCAATAAATTTCTTTTTATGAGCCAATTTATTTTATGATGCCAATATGGAATTAGTTATATGTGAGGAGCTCGTTACTAGCTCTCAGTGGCTCTGTGTAATTTTATATTAGATAGTCTGTAATTCAAGGCATCAACAGCTGACTTCCATCATTCACTAATGTGACATTGTTACTGTGCAAAAGATAATATGCGCAAAGTAGTATATTTGATACATGTTCATCTTTCATTGGCCAAGAAGTTAAGACTACTGAATTCTAGTGGTTCAACCTGATTCTAGGTGAATAGGCTGGCTGATATTTTTAACCATTTGTAATATGAATACAAGTTAGTTCTCCTTACAAAGTCCTCCACAAAAGCAATCCTATACTTAGTTATGTAGCCCTTGTAAGATTTACCATAATCCAATAATCTAACCAGCTCCACCCCTCTGGATTATGTTTTTGCAATTTGGCCGTAATTGTTGATAGACATGTATGTGATTCCCAGATGCTTTCTCTTGCCTATTTGCTTTCTTTTATCCTGGATCTATTTAGTGTCCCCAAAGATCCATTACTTCTAACACGTATGAGTGTTCAACAGCAATTATGTATCTTCTGCTTTTCACTGGATGCCCAAGATTGCGTCACAGATGTTCTTTCTTTTTCATGACTTTCGAAATTGCATTTATCTTGAAGGAAATGGTGTACCAAAATTATTTCAGTGACAACAAGCTTCTTTTTTTAATCCCACTTGCAAAGTTATCACATTTTGTCTAGGATGTCTTGGGTAATAAATTAAGCCTATTATATTCAGTTTTTGTAGCACTTAAGTTTTTTATGTATATACATTGTTTTTTTAATATATATATATATATATATATATACATACATACATTTATGTACTTATTACTTACTGCAGTTCTGTTTTATCGGGTACAAGATTTTAATAGCAAGCAGATAAACTGTAGTATGCTTAAGTGCTGGTTCATTTTATTGGCTATTTAATCTGTCTTGCCTATTACCATCCAATGTATATTAGCTATATCAACTGGAACTACATGAAATTTTAAAATTTTGTCTCAGTCACATGAATACATATTGTTAGCATCATGCATATGCAACTGAGTCAACAAAAGATTTGTCTATTGGTTGAAATTAAAGTATTTCTGTCCTGCGAATGATATAAAACTTATGAAAGTAAATTATACATAAATGTCAAATTCTTAATAAATTTTATAAATTAGTATCATCAAATTAGATATCATAGGTAGTGCATCTTAATAAGCAGAAACATTATAGCCAGGAAAAATTTATGTACACATTTGAGTTAGAGAATTGTATTCCATTCTTCTAAAACTTTTGTTAAAACAAAATGAACTGCTGTGAATAACTCATTAGTTTTTATCATTAAAAAGATACTTCTATACCGTTTTATAAATGACCAACAAAACATTTAGACAAAAATCATCAAGTAACCACACACAAGCCCATAATTAGTTACATAAACATGTAAGTGATCATAAGGAGTATCTTAAATTTTAATTACCATAAGAATTCAGAGCACTGAAGATAAGTAAAATTATCATTCTTTTTCAATACATAACAAACTATTTGTAATAAATACTCATAAAAATTTTATTATCTGAATGGTTTGCATTTAATGTAAAGTTTTGAACTAAGTATAACAATGTGGTTGTACCATCTATTGTAAGCTTTGGCTGGGCCACTTCTTACAATTGATTGGACATCTCTGACTATGAAGGCATTTGGTATGTGCTTCCAACTTTATGTTACATTACTATAAGACATACAGTATCTAAGCGAAGAAGGGAACTGAATGCTGTTTATGTTCCTGGCGCATGAGTTGGTCGCATGGAATTTGAACAAAGTGTGAGCCATTTGTTAAAGTGAGGTTTATTAAAGAAAGTAATTAGAGTCCTGAACTTAATCCTGTTTAACATATTTGGATTGACTAAAATATTGTTCCTGGCCAGGTAACTTTACAATTATAGTTAAAGTATGTTTCTAATTGAAATTGAGAGTCCAAAATTAAACAGATAATAATAATATAAACAAATAAATAAAATCTTATCAAAAATTTGCTAGTTATGAATATCAGTATTGATATCTCCCTGTCTTGTTTTTGGAAATTTTTAAATTATGCTATTTGATCCATATTGTATTCTTTTCAAATCTTTCTGCATGACAAATTTTATTTTCCCCCTTCCAAAATGTTATTTAGTTGTAATGAAAATAGGTCTTATTATTTTTATTTGTGAGTTTTAAAAGGAATCCTTTATTTTAGGGTCATTTGAAAATATGCAGAAATCTTTCTGTAATTAGTAGGTCTTATTACCATTGCATAATTTTATTTAGTTTTGTATCTGTGCAAAGATTCCATTATCATGTGCTATATTTATATTGCCTAGGCCTATTCACTTTTGCCATATTCTTTTACAAACTTGACCTTTTATATATTTATGCATGTATTCGAAAAGGCTGTGTGAGAAAAGTTAATCAGTTATTCTAACATAATATTTTATGATAATGCAGTTAGTCTTCACATAAATACTTTTACAGAATATATTAAAAGTATATTCTATTAATAATAAGCTATGAAGAAATTTTTGTTCTTCAAGCTGCAGTCTCATCTTTTCAATAACTCTGATTTCGAACTGTATCTGTGTTCGCAGTAAATTGGGCAAACTTATTGATGTGGAGCAAGTTCTTGTGCATATTTAATAAGGCCTAATAATTGTAAAATTTTTATTTTATTGGAGAAGGGAGTCAGGTTTAGAAATATATTTCAATTATTTCATATTTAAATTGTTTTACTGAATTTGTGTATTTTTCAAGCTTACCCAATCCCTTAAATCCAGAATTAAGCAGTATACCCTTTTATTGAAATATGTAGGTATTCATGAATGTTCACAATTTGTATGCTTCTAAATTCTTATAAATCTTTATTCACTACATAAGCAAATTATAATTATTGATTTGAAAATTAGCCAAAAAGACTGTCCCCCCCCCTTGTAAAATTCTGTGAGAGAAACTTGAAAAATATGCGATTCTGGACTTGATTTCTAAATCAATTTCTGTCCAAAAGGAGTTCTGAAATGATATGTGTAATGCAATTTTATAATCTTAAAATGCTGTAACAGTATTTTACTTAAGTTTTTTAGAAATTGTTGTGAAGTTCTTCAGGAAGAGGAAACCCCTGCTGAAGTCAAATGTGAAATGATTAAAAGAGGTTATATGGATGATCTTTGGAATACTGATCAAGCATGGAGAGAAGTAGAATTATGGCATATACACTACTCAGGAAATGAAACATTAGTCCAATGTTTTCAGGTATAATTTCTTTAATCTTAATTTTTCAAAATTTTTAATGTGATGGCATAAAGCAATTTTTATGTTACCTGTAAACTAGATTTAAATAATTTAAATTTATCATTTTTTTAAATGTTTCTTGTTAGGCTGTACTTACTTGGAGACTTATAACAGAGGATGTGTTTATAAAATTGCCTTCAGGACAAGCAATGCTGCTTCAAGAAATTACTCAGAAACTTCAACCAATTATTTTTTGAATGAAAACTGTATCTCTATTGATATTGTATTTTTGCTATCTTAAGTTGTTTTTACTTAGTGTTTAAGAATTGTTTATGCAAATTTTAGGAAGGGAAGTATATTAACCAAATTATGATTAAGAGGATTTACATTACCTTTAATTCTATTCTACTGTGAAGTTGTTATAGATTTTCCTGAATGAATCTTTGTTTTAAATTTTTTTTTTGTAAATTACATTGCATGTGTGTCATGTTCATCTTTAAAAGGTAAAAAGCTGTTTTTAGAAATATTCGCTTCATGAACATAATCATCATAATAATGTTACTGAGATTTATTTATGTATATATCTTTCATGTTTAAGTCATTGTATGAAAGTGAAATATTTGTAATCTATTTTATATTGTAAAATAAAATAGCCAATAAGTGCTATTTTTGCTAGATGTATAATTTTAATGACTCTTGCAGCTGCATCCAATAAATGTAGCGTAGCAATGCTGTAAATAAGTTATAATAAAATGAAACTTTTTTGGTGTTATAAATTATTACTGATGAGCTGTGATTCTATTATTCATTTGTAAATATGTAAAAATGTCCATATTATTTATAAAATGTAAGGGAAAGAAATTTTTCTTTGTGATAACCATTTATAGAATCAAAAATGCTAATTTACATATGCTTGTGCTTGTATTTATATGTGCTTCTTATCTGTTTTTATTTTAATGTATGATTAAATATATTTTTAATTGCAGTGCTGTTGTCATTGTGAGCTAATTGGGATATGCATTGTTACAATAAAAGTTCAAAAAAGTTTTCCTTTTTGAGTACTAAAATGAAACTAGGAGACAAATAGACTCTAAATGCTTTAATTATATTAAATAATATTTTCATAAAATGTATAATAAGTTTTATCTCTACTTCATATTAATTTTTATGTAATATTTTTAAGTGTTAAAATATATTTATAAAATTTTTATTTATTTTGTATACATTACATAATTTTTTACAGTACCTAAAATCCTAAATCTGCTAAAATCATGATTGCTATGTTAATTTTAAAGTAACTGTGCTCTTATTTTAGTAAATAAATATGTTTTGTGTAAACGGTTCCCCTTTGCCCATTCCATACATTTTGATAAATTTAAACTGCCTTTGATACATAGGAACTTCATAAGGCAGCTGATTTTACCTCCCACTACACATGTAATTAATATATATGTTTTCAGTGCTATGATTAATTATTATATCCAAGGCTAATGCAAGAAAATGGTAACCTTTTGAGTCAGGCAATAAATCAGAAACTGTTAGAAATAGAGTTAAATACTGTTAGAGCTTATGTATTTGCTCTCAAAAAGCACTACTGGAGAATTTTAGGTTTTTTACCTCTGTAATTATATAGCAATAGGGAAAATATTCTAATTTAAATAAAATGTATTTTAATTAGAAAAAACTGTCATTAATATCATTGGTTAATTTCTTAATTATTGGGCAAAAATTATTTTAAAACATTCATCTCACTAGGGACTGCCAAATGTCTGCAAAATAATAGATTCAGTCCACATGTTGGTTAAGATATTTCAGTCAAATCAATTCAGTTTGTGTTATAATAAAGCAGTATAATATGAGACAAGTAATTTTATAGGGGTTCAAATTTGGTGTCCATAATGTGTCCAGACCAGTTGCCAGTGTTATCAGAACATTAAATATTACTTCAATAAAACTAACTGCAGATAGTTTTCAAAGTTCTGCAGAAATTGTTTTTCTGTTTGTATAGTTCAAGCAAAAATGAACATGTATGGTATGCGAACTTAGTGCTAAACTTGTCCCCAGCTACAGTTTGCTGACAGCTAGGGGGAAGATTAAAAACTACATAACTGGGTTCCACATAGACTTGCTGAATAGCAGGCAGGCACACATTTAGGAATATTGTGCTGCTTTCCAGAAATTAGAGTTTAGTGTTATCTTTATGTATCATTTTTATATTATTCATGAAAAATGGATGTTTTATAATAACAGAAAATGAATTACAGTGGCTAAATAATGCGGAGCTAAACCAAATGTACAAATCCTATGTGCATCCATTAAAGTTTCTGATCTTGTGGGTTGCCGACAGCTGTTAGCAATCTTAGACCAGTGGAATTCCACCTATGCCATTTTGCCTCTGAAAATGCATTGTACATGATACATTGTTACTGAAGCTATTTTTCCAAATAAAATATATTTCTTTGTTTGTTATTACTGTTGCTTTTTTATTTTTATCACAATAGACAATAATTTATTACTTTATTTCAAGATTTATGATTCTCTCATGTGAATATGAGCTATTCTTTATGAGACGTTTAAACTTTACATCTCGCCAACCTGTATACATAGGTAAGGAAGGTAATGCTTTCAGTCCAAATATTTCATTATGAGTTTTCAGTTAATATGTGCAAATTAAGTTCCTCACAACATCTTTTTGCTGTTTTTGCAATGATTCTGTATATATATATGTGTCACAATTTTTTCGTCTATGTATCTTCTTTCCACATTTGCTTTCTATATTCACATAAAGAGTTAGATTTTAGGTAAACTTGAACAACCAGAAGCCGTACCTTACTTGAAGCCTATGAGTTTTTAATGAAAATCTACACTAGTCATTAAAATTAAAGGAAAAAGAGAGCAAATATACTCACCAAATTAATGTTGCAACAAATGCTATGATTGACAATGTGGTTGCACTATGGAAGCATATTGTTGTACTGTAGTGTTGTTTATCTGACTGCGTTCAATACCCTAATTTTGAAAAAGTGTACAAATAAATTAATTTTTGGTGTTAATTAGCATAATGTTACTTAAAATGATAGAAACAGTTTATAAACGCATTATTAAAATGTAATTTTTACTTTTTCTCACATTTTGGATCAAAAATGTATTTAAATTTCAGTATCACGAGATTAGTAAATTATTTATCAATATTTTACTTTTATTTTTTTCACTTATATTTATTTAAAGCATAAGGAATAAAATGGCAAAATCTAAGTCATAAAGCAAATGTATTAAATATACCTGTGAGTACATATACTATTTTTCGAGAAATTTTTCTTCTTCATTACAAAATGTCTGCAAAATCTTAAAAGTATATAAACCTAAAATTTAGTCCATTTAATTCCCAATATTCATAGATATTTGTGGGAGTATCATAAAATTGCTATAGAATATTATAAGTTATGGGTTTTTCGTATTAGAAATGTTGACAAAAACAAGTTTTACAAAAAACAAATTTAAAGTTTTATCTTTAGAAAATGTATTAGAAATTGATATATTACATTGCTAAAAGTGCCCTGTTTTGTATATTGCGCCTTCTGTCGACTCTATTTTAGAAGATTTTTTTCTTTAAAGAAGCTCTTAATTTTTTTCTTGTGATTTTTATGGAATGTAAAGAATACTGTTTTGAATCGACAATTCGAGTTTTATCAGTACAGTTATATCCCGTGACAGTATATTGTCCATGTTTCATATTAAGTTTCCCAATATTTTTAATATGCCCAAAAATCCGTTATTAAATCTGTATTACTCCTATATAGGAACCAAGACACAATGATGTCAACTCAACAAACACTTGTTTTCATATGATACGTTATTAAAACTCTCATTATTGTTTTGAATTTCAAAACACACTGGACAGGATAATGCAGAAAATATAGATTTTAGAATTTCATCATCAAATATTCTATTACCAGCAGCATTATTAGCTTCATTATAATTTTCAGAAAATGTTTTATTGTTTTTAGTTCGATCACTGCGTAGAAGCTTTCACAGTATATCTGTTTCCAGCAATCGCGTGTTTTGAACGAAAAGTCCACGCGACCAATTAACGTTTACAATAATAAAGTGAAATATTTTTACACAATGTTAAAATAACAAGCAGAAGAGATAAGAAAATACTGAATAACAGCAAGCATGCTAATGAGAGTATAATCAAAACAGAATGTAAACACAAACAGAAATTGCCAAAATAATAACGAAATTTCGAAAGTAACTTATTCCAAGCACATAATAAATACATATATTTCAAAATCATTTTGAATATCGCCAACAGTATTGAAATGAAATATTCTTGTTTATAGCAGTCTGTGTCCCTTAAACATCAAATTCCGGCCTTTTAAACTCAATTCGGTTCATGGGTAGAACAAAACAGCCATAACTCTACTTCTAATCACACAGAGAGACAAACAAATGTAATTTTTGGAAGCTTAAATATAAGCTTACATTAAAGGAGTGCTTAAATTGCTGGGAGCTGCTCGGTACTTCTCAATTTTAGATAAATTACAATTCTAGCCAGAGTGCACCGAGCCCTAAAAGATGTGAATGACTTCTTTTATAAAACTGACCACATTTAAAGGGAAAAATTAGAATCCTAACGTTTAGTTTAACATAAGCAGCTTTGCAATACTCTATTTCCTAGAAATATGA